TAGGAATCTTTTCTGTTGGCTTCTAGAACTCGTCGTTGGTAATACTGTTTTTGGTTTTCAAGTGTCTTTTTCCCGTTACATAAACAATTAAAAATTATTAGCAATCTACAGATATTTGCATTTGGCATTATTTTAAATTCAAAATCGATCGTCTGATAGAAGGTATTTACGGTCGAAAAGGACCACGATTCGATACATTTAAACTGACTTTAGTGAGGGTGTGCAGTTTATCATCTGAATTAAAACGATATCGACAAATGGAAATTCAAATGCATTTGTCTTAATATGGACAAGACTGATGGCTGGAGGGAAAAGGGCAGCTGTCAATTTAATTTTGTTTCCTTTTGTATTGTTTTTTGTCTCCATCTATTTAATGGTTTTTCAAATTGAATTAAATTGGTCATTAGTTAAATAAAATTATATTCCGAAAATGCAGAGTTGTTGTACAGTGTAAGTAAATCTTATTTTTTCAGCCGTGTAACCGAAATTTCATTAATCCGCTTGTTCATACCCAATAAACACAATGCAATCAATAATGATATATTTAACAATACGGAGCGCAAGATTGGTTTTATTGTCTATTATAAACCCAAACGGCTCTGTCACTTAGATCATAACATTTATTGAAAAATAGATTTAAAGACGTAGAATTCGAGGCGCTGAGTTTTCTGCAGGGCGAATCAGCATTGTCTTTCGGGATAGAGCTCTGCCAACCAGGGCGACATGCTCAGAATTGAGGCCCCATTAGGGGGGTGGGGGAGGTCCGGTAACAATTTGGGTTTAATGGAAAACACTCATTATAGTTACAGATACCTTGCCGAACTACATGTGTATTCTAGCAGATGGAATATTGAAAAAATACACATGGCTCTATTTGCTAGTGTATGGGGGAGAAGAAGTAGTAGCTGGAAGGTTTTTACTCGATGGATATTGACCTTTGATAAGATGGGCATTTTGAAAGCCTGAAAGCGACAAGGATACCCGTCAGAGGAAGAAAATATCTGGATAGAAAAAGGAAAGCAGCGATAGCTCTCCAAGCAAAAGCACGCCCACGCACATCGAAGTCAATGTTGTAGAAAATGGCGCCAAGATTGGCGCTGGTCGTTCTCATGGTGAAGGACCTTCGACTGCTCTGTTAGCTGTCATGCAAGAAGGATTTGCAACACTCTCCGTAAATATGGCTAATACCGTTACCGAGGCTTTTCAGGAAGTCGCTTAAAGCCGACCTAAAGATTTCCTATGACGAGGAAATTCAAGAGGTAGATATCCCAAATTCAGACCACGAGGGCGAGCAACCCCACAAAGAAGAAGCGGGAGGAGATTAACGGGAAAAGCCAGAAGTGTATAGATCTGGACGTTTCTGTCGGACAGTTGCTCGACAGGTCCAATCCTCCCTCTAATGAGGTTAAAAGTAAAGTGTTTAGCAGCTTAAAACAGGTTCTGCAAAAGGAGGAAACTGATTCGACTGTAGACTCAGAACTGGCAAGCATCATCAATAAATTACAGTGGAACCCAGTTAATAGGACCACCTTCGGGCCTTGAAAAATTGGTCGCATTAACGGGGTGGTCGTATTAAAGGGGTTCTTTAAATAGGAAAATGACGGATTGAGCTTTTTTTGGGCCAGAATAAAGTGGCCGTAATAACTAGGTGGTTATTGACCCCTTATTGACCTCTTTGTCTCGGGGCTAAATGCACAGGTGTCTTGTTATGCATCCTGGTGACCTGATCCTGAAGCAACTTATGGAAATGCTTTTTACGCTCAGGTGGGAAAAACAACTTTTTTATGCTTTTCCCTCATTTAGTTTGATTACCCGTTGCCTGCAAAAGATAGCTATGGAGGAAGCAGTGAGCATAATAAATGCTCCCCTCTGGCCTACCCAGCCATAGCACTCGGAGCTATTACACCTGATAGTAGATGTGTCGAGGACAATTCCACGACAACTTTCTCCGCTCAAAATGCCAGGGAAAGAGAATGAGCCTCATCCATTAAGGTGATTCCTCAGTATTGCATTGCGCATCCCTACTGCGCACGATTAGCGCGCGCACATGAGCGCGTGCACACACACAACGTAAGAGATTTTCATCAAGCTAAACTTGACAGCGAAATAAATGCTTGTTTTCTCTTAAACAAGCACCGTAAGGTACCTTTTTATTGCATTAAATTAATCTATAATTCATTGCCTTTCCACTGAATAAGTAAGAAAACATTTTAACGTCAGGTAAAAAAATTACTGCCAAAAATATTTACTTACCCTTTCACTCGTGACCTGAACCTTACCACCCCTAGAAGACGCATTCAGCGGCATTTAGAAAAAGAAAAACGCACTTAATGGGTACCATTGCACAGATTTTTGACGTACCTTTGACAAGTTATGACTCTTAAACGAACACCGTACCACATGTTTTTTATGCACATTTCGAATACCTGCATTACAAGGAATAACCAGAAAAAATTTGAAAAAAATCTAACGTCAATTGTTATTTCTAGGGAATCACCTTAACAACGGGCTTCACTTTTTATTAACTACTAGACCACACTAGAATCTGTGATTGACCTTGACTGAGCATGTTATTTCTTACTTTCCAATTATGACTAGTAATTACTATCATGAAAAAATAGTTGTGCTCTGGTTTTGTTAAGAAATCACATCAATTATCCTTTAGTGCCTTAAAACTAATACTTACTGCCAATAAATAATACCTAAAAATAATAATTACTGCCTAATCATATCAATTATCCTTTACTGCCTTAAAACAATAATTCCTGCCTTGAAAATGGTGAAAAATAATTATCCTTTATTATCCAAAAGTAATTGTGCTCTGGTTTTGTTGAGAAATCATATCAATTATCCTTCCTTGTCTTATCATACTAAAGGATGCTTGCTTCTGAGGTTATTTGTTCCCGAATAAAGAGCTTTTAAGGTGGTTATTTCAGTTGGCTGTGAGCCTTGCAATATTTATGATCCCTTCCCAAACCCAATTATTCCTGCATTTGTGTAAAACAGAGGAAATCGTAGCTATGACAGTTGTCTGGATGTGGAATGTTAAATATACAGCACAGATATTTACAATTTTATTTCTTTTTCACTCCTTAGAGAAACATAACCAGACGAACATTTTTGCCCTTGTTCGTCCAGACGGACAATATATGCATCTTAAGTATAAAAATTGCGAGGACTTATTAGCCATCTGCACGGATAATATCCAAGGGTACATGTGTGGGATACCTCATTTGCATTACCAGACACGAGCCGCTGACAATAGTGTGGGATACCCAGGTATCCGACACGAAAATGGCCAACAGGATATCACTTGGGAGAGTGTTTCACCACATACCAAACACCTTAAATTGAACCCTCTTCTCAGTGTTTGAAAATGTGTTGAATTGCTGTCGTTTTTGTTATGATCATGAGATAGAAGTCAATTGCAAAGTAATGAGTACATGCAGAAACAACATCAGGTAATACTGGTTTCACAACTTTTTCAAACTTTTTTCAAGTTTATTCCGTTTATTGACTGTTGACAATGGTAAGATTCACTGCTTACCTGACTGGTAGAAAACTCAAAAAAGCAACAGACTCAAGAATGGCAAAGAAAAATCTCTATCCAGCAGTAATTCTGTACACAATGAATTTTATGAAAGTGGAGAAAGCCGTGGGGACGAGGTTGGACATTCGCGCTAATTGTTTCCGCGCATCCTTACTGCGCACGAAAATTCACACGCCACGTCATGCATTGAGCGCGCGCTAAGTAATAAAATGAACAATGATAGGGCAGATGGCCATTGCTATAGCTTTGCCTGGATTTAACGATCTTGGACGTTCGGTGACCCCTTATTTTTCTACTTTTAGCGAAAAAATGAGGAAAATCCATGATTTTTTTTTGCAAAATGCACCTTAGAATTCCGTTCCGGTTTCAAATACCTCTTGAAGGGTTTACGTTTGGCAAAAACGTTGGCATCATTTGGAATTATTTTCTCAACAGACCCACTTCTACAAAATATGACTAAGATCGATTGCCTCCGTTGACGCTCCTTTGATTTTTTTTTTTTTAACCATAAACTCCGGTAGACTTCGCTGAATTACTTGCACCAATTTTTTTTTAAATCAGGGTAGTTTTCCTCACGCTATATCTCTGAAACGAAGTCAGTGACCCCCAACTTTTTTGCATTTCTGACACAAGTAACTCACTAATCTGACTGCAGTAAAAATTTACAAAAAATCCGACTATCGACAGGAAAATTAATTTTTTCGCGAACGTCCTCACGTTCGAACGTATGTTGCTCTTCTGTACCAAATCAAATTACACGGCAGCAGACACGCTAAAAGACCTGAAAGAAAGGTTTCCATTCCCACAAGTTGCATTATTTCTTCTCAGTCAAATCCAAGCACAACAATACACAGCATTTGAGGAAATTTCACTGCCAGGTTAATAACGTGAGTCGAGTTAATGAGCCCATCTGGTTCAGTTCTTGCTGTAGATAAAAAGTTACCAAAGACTAAGAAATCCCAGTCAGAATGCAAAGACATTGCTAATCTAAACGCAGTCTTATTCTGTTGTGTGTATAGGCTTTGTAAAATTTTGAAATTTTGTAAATATAAGTTTTTTTGTATGGGAAGAACACTGACGGCTATGCTTTTTGAACAAGGAAAAGAAATTTGATCTTGAACAGAATTAAGGACCATTGAGAAAATTGACGCTATGCAATTGTTTCAATCACTTTCTCTTCCCTTAAACAGAAGTATAGCAGCTCTCGTAAGCTTGTAATTCTCTTCATTGTTTGCAGCTGTTATTGTTTTAGGGCTAGGGGCATTGTTTCTGCTGTTTGTTCTATTGTTCTCTCAAAGGGTAGCAAGCCATTCATGTCAGACCTTACGAGAGCTGCTACATCACCCCCTCAAATTGGTTGAGTAATTTAATTTAATAGCCAGGTACCAGACTAAAACGACTAAAAATTTTGTTCGATTTTCAGATAAAAATAAATATTCGATGCTTGGGAAACAGACAAGTGTCATAATTCATGACAGACACTGACATGAAACAACAACACCTTTTATTGCTTCCTGAGAAGTCATACAATGAAGTGAGTTGTTCTTCGGTGTACACAAGTAATATAACCCCATCACCTATTAAGAAATCGCTCTAGATCTTATGATCACATCAGCGATAGAATGGCACAAGAAACTCAGGCTATAAAAAAGCTCACTTAAGTCAGGAATCAAGTTACTAATGCCATTTAAAAGCCTGACAAGAACACTTGGTTCTAGTTTTTAACTGGTTTGATTTTCATCTCAGCTCGTTTAGCGGAGTACTTCTCGCCTTTCCAGTGATACCACTGCACACCGGCCCAGGGAGAAGAATGTTGGCCGTGATAGTAGACGCCATTCAGGTCGGATTGGTTACAACTGTTGAACCACCAGGCGCCCTTACGAATCGTAGCACAGCTGCCAGAATACTTGTCATTGTCGCGATCTTTGGTGGAGAACGCTGAACCACGATGATAGGAAAGAGAGTCACCAGCAGTTCCTACAAAGCAAATAAAAAGGGAAAATTATAAAATGTTGACAGACATACATTTTACACTTCGGGAATCATTTTACCGTAGGAAGTGAGCCTTTCGAAAGTAACCAACTATATTTAAATTATATATAAAACTGATTTTGCTACTGCTGGTTAAATAGTACTGTCACACAATGGTGAGTGCCTAAAGCTGATTTTCCAAAATGAGAAAACAATTTTAACTTGCTATTGGAGAAGAAAAGGGCCAAAACACATACCAGAGTAAGTTCCAAGACTCAGTTTGTATTTGCTTCTCTCGCTAGCCACACCAAAGAAATCGTACTCGGCGTAAGCTGTTTTTCCAGTTGTGTCTTCAAGGTCCACTCGAAGCCTGCTTCGTTGTTTCGTCAGGCGATGAATCTTGTCCAGTCCGAGCCAAAATTCACCGTTCAGATTTCCGAAGCCTCGTTTGTAGTCATCCCAACCGCGGTAGAAATCAACCGAGCCATCCAGTCTCTTCTGGAACACTGTCCACCCCCCACCGGCTGTTGT